GTAAGAGAGATTGCATAGAAAGCTGAAAAACCATTTGGCGCATCCATGACCTCTCTCACTACAGGAGAACTTTAAGATTTTTCTTACCCAGATAAGGCACATTTTTTCTAAATTGAAAATGTAAATTTAACATGGAGATTTTATTTTTTTATTTTTATTTTTTAGACAGAGAGAGACAGAGCATGAACGGGGGAGGGTCAGAGAGAGGGAGACGCAGAATCTGAAACAGGCTCCAGGCTCTGAGCCGTCAGCACAGAGCCCGACACGGGGCTCGAACTCACTGACCGCGAGATCATGACCTGAGCCGAAGTCGGCCACTTAACTGATTGAGCCACCCAGGCGCCCCTAACATGGAGATTTTAAACTCAGCATGTGTAACGATGACGGCTTGAGAGAAAGAGACAGTCTCTGTTTAAAATACTCTGGTCGCGGGACGCCTGGATGGCGCAGTCAGTTAAGCGTCCGACTTCAGCCAGGTCACGATCTCGCGGTCCGTGAGTTCGAGCCCCGCGTCGGGCTCTGGGCCGATGGCTCAGAGCCTGGAGCCTGTTTCCGATTCTGTGTCTCCCTCTCTCTCTGCCCCTCCCCCGTTCATGCTCTGTTTCTCTCTGTCCCACAAATAAATAAACGTTGAAAAAAAAAATTTTTAGAAAAAAAAAATAAATAAAATACTCTGGTCGCTCAGAAAGATTTTGCATGAATATGGAATGGATGAGTTCCAACTATTTTTCTAAAGGGGTTCAGAGCCCTGGTGGTAGATACACGGAATGTCATGGTACAGCTATTCTTTTATACAGAATCTCTTTTTTTCTTTATCTATTGCACTTGCTGTTGATTCTTGGGTGGGATACCTGCTTTCACTTGGCCATGACAAAACAAAACAAAACAAAAACCTTAAGAACTGCTACTCTGGGGTGCAAGGCTTAGCATCCAACCAATCCGGTAATTTTTGTCATCGCTGCTAACATAATTGAAACTAATTTAATTTCGTTGTTTTAAAATCTGGAAGATATTTCAGAAACCGTCTGGAGTTTTGGACCAATTTCTTCAGTTTGTATGTACTAACTATACTGAGTCTTAGGCAGGTGACATAACTTCTTGACACTCACTCTGACAATCAATGGCACAACCGTGGCTGGAACTCAGAGATCTGGATTCCTGGTCCAGGCCTCTCCCATGGTACTGTGTTACCATTTCAGGTTTTGTAAGTCTAAAGTATGGTGGAGATAGCATAGACTTTATGGTGGAGATAGCAGAGACTTTGAAACTGGAGAGACACAATTTCAAAGTCTGATTCAACAATTCACAAGTCACTTATCTTCTATGAGTGGGAGATTCCTTAACCTGAAAATCAGCACAAATGGAGATGATGGCATCTAGCTCAGCAGGTTAGAAATGATATAGGTAAAGCACGTAGCACATTTCCTGGTACATGGAGGTGCCCTGGGAATGCTAGTGATGACAGCTAGGGCCAGTATTATTATTTTGATAATTTGAGAAGATTAGGGATATACCTTAAAACAAACTCGGTTCCTTCTATTAGCAGCATGGATCTGCCATTGTTTATTTATACTTTTGAAAAATTATTTCTGTGTTATGCAGAAAATGTTTCAGAAGTTTACTTATGGACTGAAGTAGAATGTCTTGGTTCTTTGTCCTAATATCATCTCTTTTTGATCTTTCAAGGGTACATTTGGCTTTAATATTTTAAAATTTAATGTAAAAGTCTAACGGTCATCCTATATTTAGGGTCTTGAAGGTAATACAAATTTTAATCATTCCTGTCTTTAAGACTCTGAAGTTAAGGGAACAAAATCCCTTTCCATGGAGGCTAGAACAATAATGATTGCAGTGCAAGATGCTCAGGAAACCGGACCTTGGCTTATGGCTTCACGAGTCGTACATGGATGACCGTAGGAGGTACCGTTTTTGTTTGTAGATGCATGCAAAGCGATGGGCACAAATCTAGGGTAATGGTCATTATTTGGCCTTAGGCACTGGTACAGTTATGCAAATAGAACCCTAAAGTATTTCACCACAAATATCATGAGCCATTAAGATGCTTAATTGATCAAAACATTTCTGAGGCCAGAAATACAGGTAATTACTACTCTCAGGGAAAGTTTCACAGAACTTTCAATAGTCTTTTCTGTGAGCAGAGCATCATGCAGAAAAAGATTACTTAGTAAAACACACGAGTTCTTTTTTAAAGTGTCGGCATCGAAGGCAGGATGAAAGTATGTCTTCGCAATAACTGTTTTATATAAAAATATTGTGATTTGTGGGATTTCCAAAATGAAGCGAATCTCGTTTGGGTCAAAAGAATATCCTTCTTAAGGAGTGAAGTTATCACACTGAATGACCAGAAGCTGGATGCCCTATACCCTTACCCGGGTTGGTTAAACCACAAGTATTGATTCACTGCAGTGCGTGTGCACGTATGTGTATATGCACATTTTCCTCTGTGTCTGAAGTTAGGGGTCTCTGTCTCTTCCCCTCCCCTCTCCCCCCTTCTCCTCCCCCCACTCCTCTCCTCCCCTTTCCTCTCCTCTCCTTTCTTCCCTTCCCTCTCCTGTCCTTTCCTTCTATTTACTTCTTATTTTAATTGAAATAGCAAAAGTTTGTCGTGATGCCTGAATAAAATTGTTCTCTTCAATCTTTTATCTGTAATAGACTAAGGTTGCCAACAGTATTTATAGGGTCATTATTTTCAACTGTTTCTTGACATCTAACAATACTATTTTAAGTTCCAGCCAAGAGGATTTCCAATAATTATATAATGTCTCTCAGTAATGATCTGTTGCTTAAGATACACATTCTGTTTTACCTTTCAACACATACTTGATAACCTCTCATTTACTAACTATAATTGAGGCAAATTCAGTCTTGGCTAATTAGGGGCTCTTAGTACCCCTCATACATGTTATTCTTGATGACATATCAATAGAATTAGGGTCTACTTTTTATTTTTAATTACAGTAATAAAAATGTGCAATTTAAAAATATTAGAATGTTTAAGGACATTATAACTATTTCACAAGTAACAAGTCCACTGTTCTACTGGGGATATGCAAAATGACAAAACCTTCACAACCAAAACAGAACGGTTGCTTGTCAAGAGTTCTTTTCAGAAGCAAACTTACTGCTGTGTCAGACGCTTAGGTATCAAAGGAAAGTGTACATAACGAGGGCAATTAACCTAGACGTACTTTTACATTTTTTAAAGAAAGCTCTATGCCCAATGTGGGGCTTGAACTCATGACCCTAAGATCAAGAGTCATGTGTTCTACCGACGGAGCCAGCCAGGTGCCCCCTAAACTAGACATAATTTTAATGTTGGCCCTTTTAATGTTGACTCTACTTCAGTCAGCTCTGTTGGTTATTGTTGTCACACAACAATAAAGTCTTCAAATAAAGTTTGGTGAATGTGACAGAGACGAAGTAGGGAATATCTTTATAGCGAAAAAATTCTACCTCTGTTATGAACTGATGGCTGGCTTTGTAGTAAATAGGTCACCAAGACAAAAAGTTGAAGATGTTAAGAACACACACACACACACACACACACACACACACACACACACACACACAGACAGACACACCCCTACCTCCCTACCTATAGTGGCCTATTTCCAGATGATTCTATCTTTTCTCATCATAGAAAACATGCTTCAGATATACTAAGAATAAACACAAAGGAAATAACATCAATCCGATTTCCCTATTCTGTTCACCATTTGTGAAAATTACCACATAAGCAAAAAAGGTAAAAGAGAATTTGGAAGTAAAACATATGCTTGTAAATTCAGAGCAATACCAAATGGAAGCAGAAGTTGCTAATACGGTTCCAGTATTTTGTAAAAGAGCCAGCTGGATAGATGATAATTTTTCTACCCCTGCAGGGCATCAAAGCTTTTAGGAAATCATTCTTTTCACACATATTAACACTTAGCTTATTAAAACAGATGATACTTTTATTGTAAAACAGCCTGGGTAGAGGCTAGAAGCATAAAATATGAAAGAGGAGACTCATGTTGACCACCGGATCTGACAAACAGTGAACACTGACACAACAGACCATGAAGGAGATGATGACGTAGCAGGACCTTCTGTAACTGCCACAGCTGAAGTGTCACCGCGAAGCCCGTGAATTGCTGTTATGAAAACATTTGCGGCAACTTGCATAATTAAATGAAACTGCCAGAAAATCATTTCCAAAATGCAGGGGAGATGTACATAAATAAATACAGTTCAAAGCAAATATTCCATTTCAGCATCAGCATTGTGGTGAATTCTGGGAAGTTCCAACACAAGCAAAAGCACCATTTCCTTTGAATTGACTGTTAAATAATTACAAATGAATGACAACATTGTTATTGAAATGGATTGCTCTCTTAGTTTCCTTTACAGATACCAGATAAATGAAACTTAATGATCAAGCTCTCTAAAACCACACCCCCTACTTCTAGGAGTTGCCTTGTGGAAATGAAGACTTTTGTGCTGATAAAACGGCAGGGCGATACCGTTAGCATATGCCAGTGCTGTAAATCAAGGGAAAAGTGTTCAATAACAGTAGATTGGTGGTGGATATTTGGCTTTACTGAAGCTTATGTCTCTGTGCAACTAAGGAGCATGACGTTGACTCGCAAAACTTTACGAGGAGGGGCCAACTCCATGCCAGCATTATCCTGTTGAGGGAATGCACAAAGGCAAGCGGACCCATGCTGTACATAATGGTAAACTGGTTATCATCCTGCTCGTTAAAATTAACCTTAGAAGGTTTTTGAGACCTCCATTCTAACAGTGACACTTCCCACATACAAAAGAAGCCAATTAAGCTTTCTGTCAACAGTCAGAGAAATAAAACTATCAACTGTATTAGCCGCATAGAAGAAAGGGGATCAGAAAAGGAGTCTGCTTTGCAAACATATCATCAAAATGCAATTTTCCCTGCACATATTTCTATGATGCCAGGAAGCCTTGCGAGGGCAGTTACTTACATCAAACAGCTTTTCTATATACATTTCCTCATTGACCTTTTCTCGAAGAATATCCTGGTTTTGCCGAACAAACATGATATAGGTGTCTGCCAGATCCATTCCTGGTTTCTGTGGTAGGGGAAAAGCATGGGGAATAAAATATCAGGTCTCAATTGTGAAAACATTATTAAAACACAACCTTAAAAAGTAATTCACATATCATTTCAAAAATTACATTAGTAAATTATGCTCAAGACCAAAATCAACAATGAGCACCTTCAGTAAATTCTGTAATTAAAATAAATCAAAGTTTATTACTGGTGTCTGTAACTTGAGGTCACGGTTATTCATCATTATGAAAATGAGTAGCGACATGTGGCTGTAAACTACTAGGTATCTTTTTTCTTTAATGGCTATCTTGAACGGTTAATATGCCAAGCAGTATAAATGAATGATTTTTTTTTTAAGAAGTCCCCACTTGCAATAATCCTTTCCTAATTTCCAATACAATTTACTTGTCACTATCTCTGGCCGGTTTATTCATATATATTAAAAACAAAAATGTTAGTTTTCCTTGGATTGCCTGCCTCAACTACGATCAGTGCTCAAGGCATACAAGGTAAATTTTATTAGTTTGAATAAAATATTCTTAGGAAGATATTGGGCAAAAAATTTAATGGATTACAAAGTGAAATGTAAACCAAAATTTTGTGGATTATCCATTGCTTCTACTCACTCGTATTTATCTATCTCAAAGATTTATTTTATTTTAGAAATACAACAAGAATATCAACGAACCAGTCTCCTAAGAAGAGTCTAAAGTGTGATTCAGATAACTTTCTGAAGGTATACAACATCTGGTGTCTTGTGATGTTAGAGGAGATAGGGCAGTTAATATAATTCCTCCTTGTTACAAAGTCTACAAAATCAGTACTAGGAAGGGACAAAAATCTGAATGGCTTCCAGAGAGTTTTCCTTCTAGACTTATCTTTAGTTCTTTTTTGTGTTTCAAATAGCTAGACTAGTTAATAAAAATACTCATTTGAATGATCTATACTTGGGGTTGATTCATAATCTGTACTGAGGTATTCATTTGATTAGAATATGGCATTAAGGGGCACCTGGGAGGCTCAGTCAGTTGAGTGCCTGACTCTTAATTTCAGCTCAAGACACGATCCCAAGGTTGTGGGATCAAGCCCTCCTCCCCTCCTCCCACCCCCATGCTAAGCATGGAACCAACTTAAGATTCTCTCTCTCTCTCTGCCCCTCTCTCCTGCTCGTGCTCTCTTTCTAAAATAATAATAAAGAATATGGCATTAATAATAACAAAATGGTGGAACTGAGGCCCAAGTCCATTGGTCTTGTATCATTTCATATTCATAGAATGTACTTATAACCTCCATCATCAGACTCACTTTGCAAAGTAAATCTTGCAAGGAAACGAAGTGAAAGAGAATATCGTTCATTTAACGATTACTGCTGCAAGAAAAAAGCATAACTGAGTATCGTGGCAGCCCCTCTCCTTAAATGAAGGACAAAAATTTCTTACCACTTTTTTTTGGTGGGGGGAGGGCGCATATTTTATATACAATGATAAAATTGCCCATCTCTGCACCAGTGCACAGTATAGGCAATGAGCATATGTCACTAATAAAACTGAATTTGATTTTTTTGGTAACAAAGTTATTTCTGGGTAATGCGAGTTCCTTCTGGGTAAGGAAGCTCTTACTGCTCTTTTATTTAGCCTGAAGGGAAACATATGCCACATAAATTCAAGGATCCCTTCAAACATAACCCTAATATGACAAAGTTAGTTATTAGTTATAATATATATACTTAAATGTTTTCACTGTTCTTTCCTTCAAGAGCATCCATATACAATGTAGGGAATAGGTTTCAAACCCAAGGGAGGCAACTTATCAAATTCATTCCTTTACTATTTTTCTGCATAATTCTCTTGAGCCATGTTTGAAAGTTTAAATACAATGACATGGATAACCAAGAGAACCCTAGGTTGTTTCTTTTTCTTTCTTTCTTTCTTTTTTTTTTTTTTTTTTTTTTGCAGCCAGGGGTGGGGAACTATATATCACTTTTTCCAGTGAAGAGGCAGGGTAATTTGTACAAAGATTACTACTATTAATACTTGAAGAGTGCTAACCCATAAGATAAGTACTTCTCTCCACGCTTCTCAAACTTTGTCAAAACATCAGAAATGACGACATCCAGGAAACATACTGCCACAGAATGAAAACAGCAACAGAACACTGGTCTACGTACAATGGATAGCATATAGAGAGTTAGCTCAGCATCTGAACCTCAGCCAGGTGCTTGGAAACAAAATACTATGACATATATAATACCAAGCAGTCGGGCACAGTTCAGCTAACCTGAGAGTTATAGAATATACAAACGAGAGGTTTGTTTTCTCCATCATTTCTTACCCTGCTCAACCCCATTTTTATTTCTACCTTTTGAAAGAAAAGTAGGCTTACAAGTTTTATCTAGTCAATCACTTGACCCATCAAGCTCACTGGAAACTAACTTGTAGCTAGGAAGACTGGAGAAGAGTGACTTTAAACACTTGCCATAGATTCTAAGGTCATTTTTTCTGTTTTTTTGATCCCTTTCAAGATAACATTGGACAAAATATAACACTGTCCAGGAGGAGTTTATCTTCTAACATCTGAAACTAACAAAACACTTTATAGTTTAAGCCTAAAAGAATTTTAAAAGCTGTTCCCTTTGGCAGACCCAACGGATATGATCCTGAAATCTGTAGGTTGAGACAGTTCTATAACTTTCTAAGGAAATAAAAATCTCTGATTGAAAGTGTGAAGTAAAGCTCATTTAAAAGTTTAATCCCTGGGGCGCCTGGGTGGCGCAGTCGGTTAAGCGTCCGACTTCAGCCAGGTCACGATCTCGCGGTCCGGGAGTTCGAGCCCCGCGTCGGGCTCTGGGCTGATGGCTCAGAGCCTGGAGCCTGTTTCCGATTCTGTGTCTCCCTCTCTCTCTGCCCCTCGCCCGTTCATGCTCTGTCTCTCTCTGTCCCAAAAATAAAAATAAACGTTAAAAAAAAAATAAAAATAAAAAAAAGTTTAATCCAACAAAACTAAGTGTTTTTGTATTTTGTTTTCTTTCTTTTTTTTTTTTTAATTATACTTTCTCCCCTTTTGGCAAATTAAGATCCACTTGCCTGGAAAACAAAACCTAGAATTCTTACATTTCTCATTAGCATTATTTCTTTATCTTTGAGCTGTTTACCTATTCTTGAAACTGTGACATATGGGAATTTCACACCTAGTGGGTATATTTTCATGTAGCGGTGGCATGAGACTATAATCATTAAAAGAATATACACAAGTAAGAGTAACTGCAACAGTTGGTGACATTTACCAATTAGAATTATGGTTCTTTATCCCTCCTTTAGTGTATGAAGGGTAATTATCTCTGATAAATTGCTGAAAAAGATGTAATTTTCCTTTTAAACAGTTTCTACTTACAGTACAAATGTGTTTGGATAGGAGACATTATCACTGGTTCAGTGCTCCTTTGTGCAAAGACTCTGTTTTATGGCAGTAAAATTTACATACTTTGGAAGTCACTACATCTAATTCCATTATTACACGTTATGCATCTAATTTCATCATTAGATGTTATCTTTTATTAGGAAATGAAGTTTTGTTAAAAAGTAAAAAAAAAAAAAACCAACTGAACACACTCTGTTAAGGCTTCATTTTTTGGGGGGGTGTAAATGAATGGGAATGCATGTGACTGCTTGGCAGAGACAACAAATTGCTACACATATTGGTACAAGTGGGTGTCCACTAACCTTATCAAAGTAGAGGTCTATTAAACCTCAAAAACTGTGGATATGGATGAGGTTTTATCAAGAATATTGTAATCTAGAGATCTAAATTTATTATTTTTTATTTTTTTCATTTTTTTTTTAAATGTTTATTTTTGAGAGAGAGACAGAGCACTGGAGGCAGAGGGGCAGAGAGAGAAGGAGTCACAGAATCCGAAGCGGGCTGCAGGCTCTGAGCTGTCAGCACAGAGTCCGATGTGGGGCTCGAACTCACGGAGTGGAAGATCATGACCTGAGCTGAAGTCGGAGGCTTAACCAACTGAGCCACCCAGGCGCCCCTAGAGAGCTAAACTTAGAAATCTGTTCTATATTGATAATTATAGATTTCTTAACGAACATGAGAAAACAACAATTAAAACTAGGTAGCAAGCACGCTACGCATTATCTACCACTTAAACACTTTTTTGCCTTCCACCATTTACACCTCTGAGATCCTTGGTTCACTAAGCACTAACCTCTCCATCTTGTCTGTTAGGGCAGTAATCTCTAAATCAAAATAGGAATCCTGAATTCTAATTTGTTTCAAAAAAGAACAAAATTTGGCTAACAAAGTTAACACAAACATCACAAAATTCCCCCATGAGCATAAAGAAATCAGTGAGTGTGGAGGGAAATATAGTATGGTGAGGAGCGTGTCTCTGACATTGGCGGCATAAGTAACAGAATACACCAGTGAGTGAGTGAGTTTAAGTAAGGGTGCAGGCTCCAGCAAAATTTTTTTTTAAGCGTTAATCACTAGTTAACCTGGTGGGATGAAAATGCCGTTTAGAAAAGGAGAAAAAAAATTCCTTGTTAATTATACGCTGCAAATGCTCTTACTTCCTGCTGCTCTACCTAATCCCACAGGTGCAAGTCTTCACCCTCCCTATTCATGGGTAGGTGGGTGCAGTGCTGCCCCGGTCACTTTCCACAGCAACGGATTTAGATGCAGAAGAAGCCGCTTAACCTTCCATGGGAGGTTAACAATACACTATGCAAACACTTTCATGGTGTCTGTTTAACAAGGAGACAGATTTTTAAATATACTATTCTAGTCTCAAAGATTAACCAGAAGCTACAGTATAATTGACTTAATGTGAAAGTGCGCTTCTCATAACCTAAAAAAGCTTGCCTTGAAGAAACAATCAAGGGTGGGGCTGTGCTACCCTGATGGGTAAGAATCTGCATGCGTGGATCTTGTGAGGTTTGAAACAACTGAACACCTTCTCAGTGTGAAATTGTAGTAGGAGCAGTTTCTATGTCAGCTCTGGCATTTCAGATACAG